GTCTTTTCACGGACGCTTCTGTTTTTCCTAGATACCAAAAGCAGAAACTCCCCGAGGTCAAACCTGAAATTCCGCTTTGATAAGCTCAGCCATGCCAGCTCTAGTGCGGTAAGAATCCAGGGGGTTGAGGGTAGTGGGCGGAGCCTCCCGCATCCCGCATTCCAACCTCCTCCAAAACTCAGCTGTCCTTTCTGGGGGTCTGGGGAAGGGGGTGCCTCACACATCACAGGGGGTGGAGGAGGAAAACTCTGGTCAGGTCTAGGGGTGACGCTGCGGTCCCCGCATGGTGCAGGCATCAGCCTGGGGGGGGGTGCCAGCCACCTCTGCCACACCTCCTGTGTTAGAGTCACACCCTTGGACACACACCAGGTGTGAGCTGGGAAATGCTGGCTCCTGGGGCCTCATGCCCCTTCCTGAGCTCACCAGGGAGTTGAAAGCTGGGTGCACAGAAGCTGGAGATTATGTTGTCTAGTTATTTAAAACTCTTACATGGGTTTCTCTTGAAACAGGGTCACTAATGTGAAAGAGGATTCCTTCGCTTGTCAAAGGTGGGTCGAGTGTTTGTCCTGCTTTGGCCACGTGGCAAAGTGTGTCCACTCTAAGACCAGGGAACTAGTGGCCTGATAACCTGAGAATGGCCAAAGAGATCCTGACAGCTGGAGAGGGCCGGTGGATTGCAGGTGGCCTCCGGTGTGGCTGGGGAGAGTTTCCTGATAGGATTGGGCCAGGCTTACCCAGTTGGTCTCCCTGCCCTGGGAGGAGCCTGGTTCCAGCAGGCAGGGGGCCCCGTAGCCCAGAGCGGGCCTCCCTGCCCTGGACGGGGGATTCCGCAATTTGCCCCCCTTGCCTCCCTGTTCTTGGCAGCCTTTCCCTCCTTGTGTCTTTGGCCAGGGCTCTGGGCTGAAATGTGTCCCCCCATCATGTTCAGAGGTGCCCTAGCCCCCTAAACACTGTACTAGATGACCCCGGGGAGGACTTCCGTTCCAGCTGTGTGGTTTTCAGCAGAGCGGGGCATGGGTCCAGTTTGACAACACTGAGGCCTGACCTCCTGCTGGTAAAGTTACTGGAGACCCATTTGAATGCCCATTCCTCTTCCTGCCTTGGGGCTCCCGGGGACAGGGGGTGTGAGTCACAGCTGGAACCAAGGCGGGGTGGGGGCACAGCTCCTCTCACTTTATATAAACCTGATCTATGAAAAGGCAGAAGGGACCGTGGGAATTCTGAGGCTCACCTTTACCCCCCCTTCGTGTACAGCTGATGCCTCCGTTCATCAAGTCCGTGTTTATGCCCAACTTTTCAGGCTGCGTAACCTCCGGTCCTCTTGTGTTTGGCCCATCCTGTCACAAGCACATCGGTGGGCTATAGCCTTGGGCGCACGCTCTCCTCTTCCTTACCCACCGTTTGGTCACCATCTCCCTCCTTCTCTCCTCCAGGGAAGCCCCGATTCTGCCTTGGAGAAGGCTCCCGTTCCAGCAGTTTGGGGGTGCCATCCACTACTCTGACCGTCACAGTCCTGCTGCCCCACTGGCCACCTGCCCACCAGACCAGTTATCTGTCCCAGTGTCCCGATCTGGCCACCGTCCTGCCTGTCCCCTTGCCGAGGCACCCTGCAAGCACTTCCCCTTCTCCGGACAAGGCGTCGTTCCTCCGGGCTCCCCCTGCGCCTGACTGCCCCATGTGATGTGTGTCTGGGTCCTTCGTCATCTTGTTTTGTCCGTAGAGGAAAGAGTCGGGCAAGGGAGGGAATGTGGGGCCTAGGGACTTGGTCACAGACAGGAGAGGCAGAGAGGGTGGTGAGGTGGGGGGCGGAGGCCACCGGTGGGAAGCCGCACCCGGAGACGGGCAGCACTGGATGTGACAGGTGCGGTGAATACACGTAGTCGTGGCGGAGGGACCACTTTCCCGGGAACAGAGATGTGTAGCAGCCCTCCAAGGTGTCCTGATGGAAACCAGCTGTGTTGCCCCCACAACCGTGTGCTTCTGTGCTAGAAACTTCTTCCGTGCCCACTTGCTGGCATCAGGCCCGGCGCCGCCTCTGTCCCTGCTGCTGTCAGCTGACCGAGACTGAGCTGGGCGTGTGTGAGGTGGCGCCGTGCTCTTCCTCAGCGGCAGCCCGGTGGCCGTTGCTGTGGGAGAAGCCCCGTGCCTACGTCTCCGCTCGGGGCAGGTGTTTTCCCCAAGAAGGGGCAGGCAGCCCGGAGCGGGAAGGAATTCGGGGAGAGCAAGCTGGCAAGTCGCGCTCTGGGGCCTCGGCTGCGGGGAACCATGGGGCCGCGGGCTGGGCTGGGTCTCTGCTGGCTGCGGAGGCTCGTGGAAGAGTTACTTCAGCCCACCGCCTGGGGCAGAGCCAGGGAGGCGACATGGGGCACGAGCTGTTAGGCTTGGCCAGGCCCGGGTGTGGGCACAGAACGTAGGTGTGAGGAAGGGGCGACGTCCTTCTGCAGCTTGTCCTTCTGGCATCTGCGGGGGGCCCAGGGCTACCTTGGGGGCTCTTCCCAGCTGCTGTGCCCTCTGGCCATGTTGGCGCTTGGTCCCCCAATCTTCTTCTTCAGTCACGACTCTGCAGGCAGTGGTCCCGTTGGTGAGACTTGTGCCACCTGGGCCCCCCGGGAGGTGCACTTCAGACGCTGCCTGCCCCCTGCCCTCTCGGGCGGAGCCAGCCCACTCTCAGGAGCGGCCCCATATTCGTGCTTCTTGCCCTTCCCTGTCTGCGGTGCGAAAGGTCGTTTCCGCTCACTGGCCCTGCTGGGGGTTAAGGCGGGTGTGAAGTAAAACAAGTAAAACACGGAGTCTGAGGAGCAGAGCCTCGGAGGTGCTACGGCTTCAAGTGCACGTTGGGACACAGGACAGCCAGGGCGACTCAGGCTGGCTTCCTACTTCAATGAGCAGATGACAAGGATTTCTACCAGATGTTTTCTTTGCGGTGGGATCTGGGCCTGTTCCCAAGTCAAAGCAGCCCCAAGTCAATGTTCTACTTGTTTTTGAACGATGCCACAATTCCCCTGTTGCTTTTGCCATCAGAGCACAACCTTGACCCTTCGTCTCTCACTCATGTGGACGTTGTCGGGTCCTGTTTGCAAGCTGGGCGGGCCTCTCCCCTCACACTCTGGGAAACGTGTTTACTTAAAGTACTAGTCCGGTAAAATTTCTTCTAGTGAGAAGGTCAACAAATGTCTGTGTGGCTTTTATTAAAAGTCACTGTAGCGGCACCCGCTGCTGGCACGAGGTCTGCGGATTCCGGCAGCATTTTGTTGGCTGAGTTTCTGAAGGATCTTGGAAGGTCAAGCTGCATTCAAAAAAAAAAACAATTCCAGGTTCTGGTTTGCTTCTCTGGATAGCTGGTATTTACAGCTGCTTGGTGGTTATGCTGTGTTGTGTTGTGGTCTGGGGGTCCTTTGGAGTTTCCAGGTTGTCCCCACCCTGTCCTACTTGGGAACCTCATACCCGCCTTCCTCCACTGCTCTGGCTGCTGCTCCCGCAGCCCCCACTGCCTGGGAGGGCTTTGTCCCTGCCTCTGAGCCAGTGGCCAGGAAGGTGGGGAGTGTCCAGGGAAGCAGAGGCCTAGGCGTGCTCCCTACGAAGCAGGCCTGAGAAGTGGTTCTCTGCCTTCTTATGTTACTAGGGGTACGTTGGACTGGATCCAAAATGTCCTTCCTCTGGGTCCTGTCTTACCTTCTCTAGAAAGCCCATCCTGTGGCTTCTAGAGTATACATGACCAGCCCCACTGAGGTCCTAGAGCTGAGGGGGAGGAGGAGAGGAGGGGATGGGCAGTCTTAACCTCACCCCTGTAGACCGTGGGGCAGGCAGCGCGGGTTCCTGGAGGCTCCTTCCCCCATATTCTCCTGCATCTGCTTGGCCCAAAACTTCCTTTCGTTGCTGCGCCCAGTCTTGGGGCTCAAAGATTTGCTCAAGTCTCATTGGTCCCTGTGACCAGACTAATTCTGACGGTGCTCGTGCTGGTATTCGAGGTGCTCTGCTTGTGATCTGGACACAGGAGAGGTGTTTCCTGGACACCTCTCTGCTTCTGGGAACTGCCTGACTCACGGGAGAAATGATATTTGTCAGGCTTTGTAGGGTATCCATTTGCCTCCACTCAGTTGATGCTTAAAAGCAGAGACAGAAAGAGCTTGAGAGAGAAGATCTTAGCTAGAGTTTCTAATGAATGGAAAATGATGAATGAGTGAAAGATGACTAAAAAACATTCTGTGGTTCAGCCTCGTTGGCATCATCTCCGTGTCCCAGCCTTCTGGGTCCCTTTTGACATCTAATCCATCCAGATCATCATCCAGCCGAGAAACCTCAGCCCCCGTGGGGAAGTAACTCGGTGGAGATCACACAACCAGCGAGTGGCAAAGCTGGGATTAGAACCCACGACCCAGGGCCCTTTCGTCTGCTCCACCTACATGGTCCCGTCAACAAGCGGCTGCATTTGCCGGGGCCCTGAGTTTTGGAGGAGCCTTGCTGATGCCTGGGCATTGGTTGGGAGCTGTCAGCAGTCAGGGTGGGGCCTCAGTCTCTGTTCTTTTCATCAGGAGGGATAGTCTCTCAGTTTTTCAGTGAGGGCCCTGGGGTTTTGGATGCAACTTGAGCAGAGAAAACCTGGAGGGCAAGAGATTTTTAGTGGACTTTTCCGGGTAACGTCCATTCTTCAACTGCCCTGTAGGGGTGGGGGCCAGGGCAGAGATGGAGTTAACTAACACTCAGTTCCCCCCCCTTAACTTAAGGAAAATGGTAGAAGAAAACTCTCCTATTCTCCCCAACCCTTGAACAAAGGTGGTTAATAAAAATGTAGGCTCGTGTGACAAGGTGGGATGAGAGCCACCGTCACTTCTTACCCTGGCTGTTTAAAGTGCCAATGCAAACACTACCTTCTTCGTTTGATTCTGAGTCAACAGAGACAGGTCGTCGTGGGGGAGAGTCAGGGGTCAAGTAGGTGGCTGGCAGGGGCCCAGCCGTACAGCCATGCTTGGGACCCCACGGCTTCTCCCCAGATCTCTGGCTCCCTTTCTCAAAAGTGAGGGTGGGTCAGTGGAGTTTGCCAAGGCTGTGAAGGAGCATTCTATAAGCCCTGATATCTGTTTTTACCACTAGCCCCTTGCCCACCCCAACCCCACATCTTCTTCCTTTCAGCTGGCCCATCTGCCCCTTTGGGAGGAAGGAGACCACCCGCACTAGGGCCAAGGACAGTGGAGCCCTGCCTAGTGAGAGGCTGTTGGGGCAGTGGCTCTGTCCTGTGCCTTACCAGCCCTGGAGAGAGGGTGTTTGTCTGAAAGACTGGAATTTAAATGCCATCATCTTTGATTTTGTGATATTTCCACTTGGAACGGTCAGTTCCTCCTTCCCACTCCTTAGCATGTATGCCAACTCTCCCCTGTCATGGGCGTTCCCCTTCTACGCTCCAGCCCGGGGATTGCTGGTGTTCTAGTGTGAAGAGATTCCTTTGTGTAATAGAACCTCAGAAGTGTAGCTTGGAAATGATGATCCATGTGATGATGACTTTTCTTTCTTTCCTCTTCTTGAGGAGGTGATTCGTAGACCCCGACTGCCTATGTAATGTAAATAATGTACATTTAATTTATTGCTATGGTAGCACATTGTATTTGTTAATGTATAAAACAAATTCTAAAAAAGGTTGACAAATGTATATTTTGTTGCTTAAATGTGTCTTTGCAGAAATTGACAATAAATAACATATTTTGTGTCCATCATTGTTCAGACTTCTTTGGTTGGGGCCCCGAGCCCTGAGCATCGTCATTCATCAGAGCTTGAATACTGGCAGCCCGCGGGGCACATCTGGCCTGTAGATGTATTAGTTTGGCCTGAAACGTGTTTTTAAAATACTTGAATTCGTTGCCAATGTTTAGAAAACAGTTGATGTTTAGACCACAATTAAAATGAAAAAACAAAAAACCCAACCTAGAAATTTCATATAAAATGTAAATTTTCTGCTTCTCATAAAAACCAGTTGTTGGATCTTCCTAGGAGTGCCACAAAATTGGTCAGCACTCCTTAGTGGCTACCCCTTTGGTGAGACCTGAGGCCCTGCAGTCCCCACCATTCTCTATTGTTTACACCTGGAACGTTCCATTCATCCCTGTTGTTTGCTCGGCCCCTGTAGGCATCTGAGTTTGAGACCCCTGCTATCCACTGATTTGTCTCCATTCTGCAGTTTTCTTCCTTCTGCTCACTATTTTTCTACAGTTCCAATTTACCTCTTCAAGGATTCTTTTATGATTAAATGCCCTCTCTCCTCTCCACCTTTTGACTCCCAAAGGGCCATGCTCTTATGTACGTTTTGCTCTCAGTGTTTGGATATAGGTTTAGAAGTAATATCTGTATCTTTTGTATCTTAAGAAATTTGAAGGCAGGGATCAGGCCTTTTATCTGCTGGGCCTTGGTTGTGTGATCTTGGGCAAGTGACTTCTCTGCGTTTGCATTTTCTTTTGTGTATAATCAGAAAAATAATCCACAAGCAAAGCATGAGGATGAAGTCAATTCATAATGGGGAAAGAACCTTGAAAAAAATGGCAAGTGTTATTCAAGCACGAGGTTCAATAATAATTGTTATTATAATAGCAGTAGATGACTCACTGGAGGCTTACCGTGAGCTGAGTGTTTTACGTGTGCACTCAGTCCTATAACATGACTGCTAGTTCCTAAAAATCACAGTGCTGGGGCACCTGGGTGGCTCAGGTTGATTAAGTGTCCGACTTTGGCCCAGGTTGTGATCTCGCAGTTCACGGGTTTGAGCCCTGTGTTGGGCCTGGAGCCTGCTTCAGATTCTGTCTCCCTCTCTCTGCTCCTTCCCAGCTTGTGCTCCGTCTCTTCAAAAATAAACATTAAAAAAATAAAAATCACAAGGCTAAGCAAAAACTATTGCAAGCACAAGGCTTATGGAAAATGGGGCTAGGGACCCAACACTCAAACACTTTGTCAGTGATACATAAAAAGGAGGTTGATGAAAATGGTAGCAAAGTTCTACATATGTTAAATGATTAAGAAATCAATACTACAATAAATACAGCTTTTTACTTTGAAACAGACCTGAAGTAGTTTGATTGTGGAGTCAGGCACTGGAAGGACCGCCGCGTGTGGGTTATTGTGGAGGCGGAGAGAGAGTTTTCTGCAGTCGGACCGACAGTGGGAACACCAGATGTGTCTGGGTGTGGCTCCCAACACATGGTTCGCCAGGGTAGCTGGCAGCTGTGAGGTGGGTGCTGAGTGATTTGTGCGTTCCCATGCAGCTTGATTCAGCTGGGCGTGGTTTTCTCGGTTCACCTAGTATTTCTCATGGATGAGTTAGTTGTGTAATCAAATCTGAAGTTTGTGTTACACTCGAATTTTCCCCATGATATATCTATCAATTGCATTGGACCAAATTTCCATTTGCAAAACAAGTGTCAGCAGCAGAATGGACTGTATGATCTCATTTAGACATCCAGGCAACCCGTTCAGGCAGGCATATTATTATTATCCCCATTTCACTTACAGAATCAGAATCAAATTTCAGTTTGGAATCTAAATTTGATGCAGATTTAATGGATGTGCTGACGTCAACCTGAAGGCAAGTTTTGGACTGTGGGGTTCTAGACGCACAGGGATGCACCCGGGAGAGCATGTTCCAGCTCTCTGGTGTCCCTGCCCAGCTTGGAGTCCGCATCTGCTGTCCTGGAATCCGCATCTGCCGCTTCCCGGGCTGCTGTTGTCACGCCCTTGCCGTGTGGTGCCTCATCCGAGCCCTGGGTCTCAGAGTTTAGCTTCTGTGGAGACCC